AAAAAATAGCCAGGCATTGTGGCAGGCACCTGTAGTCCCAGCTACTTGGAGGCTGAGGCAAGAGAATCGCTTGAGCCCAGGAGTTGGAGGTTGTTGTGAGCTGTGATGCCACAGCACTCTACCCAGGGCAACAGCTTGAGGCTCTGTCTCAAAAAACAAAACAAAACAAAGACCATACCTTAACCCTGTCCCCAAACTGCTTCTTGATTCCTTAAGTCCATCTTTCCACTGCTTTAAGTTCAACAACTAAGTTCAGAAACTCTTGTACATTTTTAAATCCTAAGACCTTTCATTTACTAATCAAGATACTGCTCCCCAATTCTATATTTACTCCTCCCAAAGGTGTGACTACACAGGCTATACCTACAGCACTGTCCCAAGAAAGCTCATGTTACTAAGACCCCGGGATCAGCAGCTCTAAGTCACTCTCTACAAGTGTAAAACCTGTCACGGTAGGGAGAATGAAAAAGGGACACCTTTAACTAAATCAGTTTTAGCTTTTTTTTGTCTCTTCAGAAACAGACAAATATAAAGGAACATAAATAATGGTAAAGAAACCTTCATATAGTTTGACCTAAAAAAGTAATAAAAAATGAGAACAGCTACACCATTATATTCTTTTTTTTTTGGCCAGGGGCCAGGCTTGAACCCACCACCTCAGGTATATGGTATCAGCACTCTAAACACCTTTGAGCCACAGGCGCCACCCTTAGTGTTAAATTGTTATTGCTCCTTATTCTTTACCTTTGATACTTGGATTAAAAATTAAGCATACTAGCCCAGCACAATGGCTCAGGCCTATCATCCCAGCACTCTGGGAGGCCAAGGCAAGAGGATCCCTTGAGCTCAGGAGTTTGAGACCGACATAAGCAAGAGTGAGACCTTGTCTCTACTAAAAATAGAAAAAAATAGCCTAGCCTTGTGGCACACATCTGTAGTTCCAGCTACCTGGGAGGCTGAGGCAGGAGGATCACCTGAACCCAGGAGTTTTGATGTTGCTGTGAGCTAGGGTGACATTATGGTACTCTAGCCTAGGCAACAGAGAACATAAGCACTGAGGTAGAATAACAAAACCAGAAACTGACACCAGCTTGCTTTTTCTGTCCTAGTTTTCAAAATACAGAAAAGTAGGCCAGGCATGGTAGCTCATGCCTATAATCCTAGCATTCTGAGAGGCCCAGGCAGGTAGACTGCCTGAGCTCAGGAGTTCAAGACCAACCTGAGCCAGGGTGAGACCCCATCTCTAAAAATAGTTAGGAATTGTGGCAAACACCTATAATCTCAGCTACTCAGGAGGCTAAGATAAGAGAATCGCTTGAGCTCAAGAGTTTGAGGTTGCTCTGAGCTATGACACCATAGCACTCTACTAAGGGTGACAAAGTGAGAAAAAAATAAATCTCAAAAAATAAATAAATACATAAAAAAATCTGAAAAAATAAATGTCTCAAAAAATATATACATAAAAAATAAAATACAGAAAAGCAAATAAGATGAATAGTGAAAAGGAAATTATCTAAACCTCTCATTCTAATCTAATCAACAATCAGTGGATTTAGCACACTGAAAGGATTTAATAAGCCTACTTTATCAGATGAGCTAAAATGTCTTTGGGGCGGTGCCTGTGGCTCAGTGAGTAGGGTGTCATATGGGAGTGTGGCAGGTTCAAACCTAGCCCCAGCCAAACTGCAACAAAAAACAGCTGAGCACTGTAGGGGGCACCTATAGTCCCAGCTACTTGGGAGGCTGAGGCAAGAGAATCACCTAGGCCTAGGAGCTGGAGGTTGCTATGAGCTGTGACGCCACAGCACTCTACTGAGGGCAACATAGTGAGACTCTGTCTCTCTCTCTCTTTTTTTTTTTTTGCAGTTTTTGGCCAGGGCTGGTTCGGAACCCACCACCTTTGGCACATGGGGCCAGTGCCCTACTCCTTTTAGCCACAGGCGCCACCTAAGACTGTCTCTTAAAAAAAGAAAAATTACAGCTCGGTGCCTGTGGCTCAAGTGGCTAAAGCATCAGCCACATACACCTAAGGTGGCGGGTTCAAATCCAGCCTGGGCCCGCCAAACGAC